TCTCTCTCTCTCTCTCTCTCTCTCTCTCTCTCTCTCTCTCTCTCTCTCTCTCTCTCTCTCTCTCTCTCTCGTTTGTTTATTTGTTCTTCTTTCTTTTTTTTTCCTTAAAAAATCTCATTCTTTTTTTTTTTCCTTTTTTTTTTTACAACGTAAGAAAGTCCCGGTATCGGTAGCGGGAGGCTCAACAAGGCTCGGTTTACCGGTAGCGGGGGGCTCGACATCAATGGCTAAGACTTGTACTGTAACTGTCCGTTTAAACCACCAGTACCTTTCCCCACTTGAAAAACAATCCCACTACGGGTTAGACGGAAGGCAAGCGGGTTCCAACGGCAATTGATAAATTTTATCGATAACCCATTTTCCATTTCGTGCCTCTGAAACTTCCTGCAACCTATATATGGGCAAGATGCTAGTGGTTTAAAATAAATAACCTTATAAAAATAAAAATAAAAAATGTCGAGGAAAAAAACACGCCCATAACGCCCAATAATAAAAAAAAGAAGTTTGTCCACCAGTGTACTAAGTTTTTTTTTACCCCTCGTGGAGAATGCAAAGGCTATAGCCCCATTACCAAGCAAAAAAGGACGGCCTCACTCCACTGCATAACACTCTAAATGTAACTCGAGTAGGTAATGGTCCCAATACATTCAAAATGTTTAGCAAATCGACATGTATTTGGTCCACTAAGCAGTCGAGATGAAACGTAATTGGTCCACTTAGCAATTGAGTTACATGTCAAGCACTGAGTGGTGAACCTCGATGCCATACTCCCTCCTAAGCACATATGAATCTCTGTCATCCGATTAGACAAGAATCTGCCATATTAAAAACATCATGGACTACCCGTTCATCTACGGAACACAATAGATCCCAGTCATAGTCGCATATGTGGACAATGTTTCCAGTATAATAAAAACATAAAGAGGATTCAAAGAAGACTAGTGGTATATCCCAATCAGCCGGAGCATTAAGATTTCAACAAAGGAAGCAAAATAAGCTGACAAATGATAGCCAAAAAGTGATTTAGGGACTTGGCAGTTGAAGCCTCGGTGGACAGAAAAACACATGGACCAACAACAGGAGTGACACGAGTGTCCCAAGTTCATGGCTATACTAGGAGGCCCTGGACGTAGGTAGAAGCACACTAGATCAGTAACTTGGGAAAGTACGAGGTTATAGCCGTATTATGAGCCCTAAGGTGTAATATTTGGCACTCAAGAGTTTTCGAGACATGAGGAGTGGACCAACTAAGATCTAGTAACAGCTAGGAGGCGGCCAACACGTTCTACGCGATGAGGGGTATACCAATTGAGGTCCAGGGAAAACAAAACACTCAAAAATGTGGCAAGGAACACTTTGCTCAAATTCCCTATTAGCTGCCTAGGTCGTGGGATTACCCTGGGATCACCCTGCTTATATTTTTTATATATTTTATTTTCACGTTGCGCCATGCTAGTTTCGGTAAGGATTTGGTACCTCGACCTATGATTTTTTAATTGGCATCTGGATTTGGTATAGGGCACGACACAGTGAATAATTATTTTTCCAAACTATATCTTCGCTGCTAGTGATGCTTTGAAGTGTTTCATTTTTGTTCAGAGGTGAATTATACCTTAATTTTTATTTGGGACCAGTTTGGGACACCACTATGTTTGTGGTACGCAGTAAATGATTTTTTATTTCTTTTGTGTGCGCTCTCAACACCTTGGACATGTTGTGCATAGTGGGACTGCTAGCATCACTTTGTGGGACCATATAGTACTACCAAGACTACTTCCAGTTGAATGGTTCTTATTTTTTTATTGTTGGAGGTCATTGCATTTAGTTTGAGGTTATCTTGGTACTTTAGTAGTCTCCTAAGATTCTCTCTATCATGTTGGGGCTCTTGGGACTGCCCGCTGCCCACCTGGACCGTGACCATCTAAGATATGTAATGACTACCCTAAATTCACTCGGGACCATTTACAATCATTTGAGACCTTTTGGGACTACATTGGGACCACTTTGGAACACTCAGACTCTCTTGGGACTACCACTTGGGATACTTGAGATCAATTATATTATTTTGCATAGAGTAGTGAGCAGTGATTTAGCAATACTATGAATCTGGCAGAGTTATCTGAAATTTTCCTCCAATAACATGACCTAGTTGGGCCTGCAGTGGGATACAGTGAACCACAAGGATAACCTTATGGAACCCCTAAATGTTTTTTAATTGACAAAGCAAAATTTGTATTGTGTTTTACCACTTGGAACTGTTTTGAACTGTTTTTCATATTCATTTGATACTTGGGACTACTCTCGGACTAGTTGGTACTACTAGGACTATTGTTAAGACTACTTGAAATAACCTAGTTTTCTTAAGGATCTTTCGAATATGCTCCTGACACTACAATGCTTTGAATAATCGCTACATTACGTATTTATCAGTCCATCTTATCTTTCACAACCCAAGTTTGATGCTTCTTCAAACTGACCCATTTTTATTCTCAACATCTTATACTTAGTATTTTCCTAAGACTTATTACAGTGTTGGCTTATTCACTTAATACTTATCTGTATTTTACCTCTGCACAATTTTAATTTTATATGTCTTCTGACTATTTTAAAATACTTTCATACCGTAATTTTCTTAAATCGGACTTCAATGAATATTTTTTTTTGTGTGACTTAGACTTATCTTTGTCCATATTTTATGCTTTCGGCCATTCGGGCCGAACGTGAAAAAATAAAAAATAAAAAATAAAAAAAATAAAAAAATATGAAAAAACGATATGTTATAGAGGAAAATGGATTAAACAATATTTGCCTGAGCATTACATACGAATTCCTTACCAAATTTAAAATAAAAATAAAATACAAAAAACAAATACTAATAATAAAAATAAATAAAAATAAAAATAAAAATAAATTTGATGAGTGCGTGAGCATGTTTTCGACACCACCATCTTTGGCGATTTTTCATTTTTTTTTTGGCATAGCTAAATGCCCTGAAAAGTTACAGATGTGTACTTCACGTAGTACAAAACCCACTAAAAAAAAATCAAAAAATAATAAAATTGTTTAGACCTCGAACTAAAGTGAAAAAAAAAAGTAAAAAGTGAAAAAATACGTAGGCAAACAAGTTTTGACACCGCCATCTTTGGCGATTTTTAATTTTTTTTTAGCTTAGCCAAATGAATTGAAAATTTACAGGCATGTACCTCACGTCACAGAGAACTCACAAAAAACAATTCAGAAAAAAATGATTATTTTTAGGCTCTAAAATAATTTTTGGCGGGGCCGAACGCCAGCGGGTTCGGACCCCGTACGAGACCCCG